GGTGCGGAGGCGGGGGGGTGGCTAACGGGTAAGGTCGGCGATGTATGAGGAAAGCGAACCTGAAGGAGCGGGAGGTTTGTTCGCCGCTTTGTGTTTCGCGCTCCAGGTGCCGGCTGGGCTCACGAGGTTGTCCCTGGCTTCCTGCAGACCCTGCTCCAAGGCACTGCGGAGCAGCTGTACGCCGGGCCCATTTCTCAACGCAAACTCGACGATGTGACTAAAGCTGCTCTGACTGCGCTGAAGAAATGTATCGGCGAGCTCTCTCCCGAGCACGTCCAGGCCCTTCTCAATCTGCTGGTAATGAATTCTCGTTACTGTTCTCAAAACGAGCGATCATAACCGCGCGCAGCCTTGTGCCAGGTTCTGGACAAGGAGCATCCCCACGCTTTCCCTTCAGCGTGTCTCGGCCTCAGCGGAGGTTGGGGCGGCCAGGAAGAGCTATCGTCACCCAGCTCTGCTTCCGACTCCCTCGACAGCCTCGGACGACCTTTTTGTCCCATCTATTAAAAGCAGGGGAGTCCTGCTGCAGAGGAAGCGCGTTCCTGCACAAAGCTGCCAAGCTCTTGGCAAAACCGTTGGGCAAAAGCTGGCCTCTGCAACGGCCACGCCGACTTTTCGCGTTGTCCGGCATTTCTGCGACCAGAGGCGCCGGGTGCCCCGCGGCTACACGGCACCGCTCGTCTTGCAGACGAACCATCAGAAGCCGATGGGTGGAAAACCATGTGAACGGGGAGAAAAGCAAAGCTGCACGTCCTCCAAAGAACTTGCCCTTCGACAAGCAAAGCTGACGACTTGCTTCATCCCTTTGATACCTATAAAACGTAGCAGTAAGAGGCAGGCAAGCTTGCTGGCGAGCAACGGGGCGACGCGAGCCAGAGCGGGGACCCTTTAACGTGACTGATGTGCTACGGGGACACCAGCTCCCCGGCGGCGGTGGGGGGGGGGGGGGGGGCCGCGTCCCCGCGTGTATTACTAGGAATAAAGCCAAAAAGAAAAGCTGTAGGCGACAGCAAGCGAGATTCGAGCGTATGTGACACGCTTGCCCCCGGCTGGTGTTTGCACGCCGACCTCGCGAGCCCCCGCAGGGGGGAGGCTCGCTAAGCCTTTGTGTCCCCCCCCCCGACCCCGACGTCGGGCCAGAGGTTACGAGTTCGGCGTCTCAGCTCCCGTACCACGCGCACATCTGGCTCGTCCCCGCAGCTGTGTATTTTTAAAAGCTTGTCTGCATGCAAATATTACTTTCGAATTGGGATTTTCCAGTTCCACCGAAACTCCGTTGTTTTAAGAAAGCCCAGGCTGGGTCACTCACGCGGTGGGACTTCAGGCTGATCTTAGTTGCACCGGTTTTGGGTGAGTTCAGAGGAGCTGCTTTCGATCTGCAAAGGGGAGAAATCAGGCTTAAGGCCCCACTTTCTAGCTGACCTGACGCTACAGGATTGAGGCCGAGGTCCCCAGGGGGACTGAAGAGCTCAGGTTGAGAGCTGGGACCACGGTCCTGGAGTTACTCCTGGAGCAACCGCCGCAGGTTTGAACAAACAGCTTGCTTCCAGCTGCCCTGGGAAGACGCGCCCTCAGGCCGGCTTTATTACTTCTTTAGCATGGCCTTCGCAAAAAGCAAAATTTTTTTTTTTTTTTTAAATGCAATTTTTGTTCTTCGTTTCAACTGATCGCAGCTAGGTAGCTTTAATTCCTCTCGCGGCCAGCAGGCAAGCGGGACGCAGGGTCAGCTGCTTGTGGCTTCGGTGAGAGCGCTGCGGGGTAAAAGCTCTGGGATTTAACTAACTCCCCGTTTAAGTCTTAACGTAACCGTCCCCACTTAAACCGTCTATTTTTTAAAACATGCCTGATGAGGCACGGATGCCAAGTTGCCTTTTTTGAAATGTCACACTCAAGAGCCAGGAACACAACACACAGCCAGATGGAAGTCTAATAAAGTTATTTCCGAAGACAAAATACCCTTGACCTACAGGATTCTTTTATTACATGAATCTCCGGGACTTCACTTATTTTCCTTCTGCTTCTCTCTGAAACCATAGCCCATCTGACCAGCTGATTAAACTAACCTCATGCTGTCAACATACTCTCTGATCTTGCTGTTTCAAAAATTACATCGTGACGTGCACAGTCGTTTTAGGAGAACTTTGGCGTCCTACATTCACCGCTTTTGCTTTCTTTTTCAGAAACTCGTTCGGACAGAGGCTTAAAGGGGCAAAATCGTCCTTGGGATTTGGCAGTTTCACCCAGTCACTGATAACGCTTCACGCTGACTTCCAGTTGCTTCTATCCAAAGCCTCTGGGAAGACAACAACCACGAGCCCCAGAGCAAGCCAGGACACCGGTAGCCGCTTTTCCTGAACTCGCCGAGCTGAACCCTACACCCTGTCACCTTCCCGTGTACATCAGATCGCATTTCGCAGGAGGTCACTTCTAAGTTCTACAGAAAATTCAGATGATGCCTGGAAAATGATTTCTGCCATCCGTTTTCATAAATAAAGGTCTTTGTTGTCCTTTTCACTGTTAGGGCAAAGCGGCATTTGTGTGGGTAAAGTCAAACCAACAACGTTACTAGAGCGATCCACCGCGCACACGTGCCGGGGGTCAGCAGTCCAACTCAGTGACCTGCGGGAAACAAGTCCTCAATCAAAGCAACTTTTCCCAGGCGCTGACCATCTTCATAATAACTGTAGTAGCTCTGCTAGCAAATGAGCCCAAATCTGCTGAGCATTGACTGAACATAGCCAGTAGCTTTGGACCCCACTCTTAGTCCTAGCACCTAGCATCCCTAAGAAGCCCACAGGCAGTCACCTGCAGGAGAAGTGATATTTCAGGGGCTGACTGCAGCAAAAACCTGAAAGCAAGCTGGGTGCCCAGTGATCCCCAAGGGAAACCGGGGCCGGCACCACGAGGGCACCTCACCCCAAAGCTCTCTGTCCCTTTGCAGCGGGGCCTCAGAGGAAAACATCACAGCAGGCAGTCTCCTCTTCTACATGCCCAAGGACATTGCTCCCTGGACGGCTTGTTGCACGTTTCCCCACTGCTTCCATTTCTCTTCAGCTTCAAGCTGCTAGATGTACTGAGTCCACCCGAACTCATAAGTAAGGTTACAGGGGCAGATAATTTCCTTTTTCTGGAACGAACCAATGTATCATCTCAATACAGCCCGCTCTGCAGGGAGGTGAGCCGGCGGACCGCACGGTTTTGCCCCAGCCGCCTGTGCCGTGGGGTCCACCCGCAGGGCTCTGGGTAGGGACCAAAGAGCGCGAGCAGAACCGTGTGTTACAGCCACGACACAGCCCTAAAAGCAGAGCTGTCCCAGCTCAGTTAACCCACAACCTGAACGTCTCAGGAGGACAGCGTGCAGCAAGGTGGACGTAGATGCGCGTTCCTCTGCAGCTCAGGTGGTCGGCACGGCTCCTCGTCTTTCAACAACAGGATCAAGCTCCGTGATGAGAGTGAGGAAAAGCAACGTTTACTTATGACAAGGATACTGTTTTCCAAAACGGGTGCAGAAGCCACCCTGGCAAGAACGTAGCACGAGTTAAAAAAAAAAAACCTTCTTGGTTGAAGGCAAACATTGGCAGGGGCTGAGTCGTTTGTCGCTGCTGGCAGAGCACAGCCCCGACATTTCCAAGCAGAGTTTGTGCAACTGCAAAGTACAGCACGAAGGAAATCAGCGCTAGCAAACGGCCCAGGTCATGAGCGTTACCCATGACTTGTTAGTCACCGAGGGCAAGTAGATCCGACCAGCTAAGGAGGAAGGTGTGTGCCAAATGCAGAGGGCAGCTGGGCCCATGAGAACTTGCACGCTTTACGACAATGGCTGGAAGCAGCCAGGCTCATTGAGACCAAGCTGTGGTGCAACCTGCAAAGTCTTTTTGGCACAGATGAGCCCTTGAAAGTCCAGGGCCCTGCCACCTTGCCGAAGGATCACAGTAGGTCTTTCTGAAGACAGGTAGAGCCACTTGAATCCAGCTCTCCGCCAGTTGAGGCCAGTTATTTAAAAAAAAAAAACCCTGGAGCTGCCTAGGAGCTGATTAGATAACCACCAATTAACTAGTATCACATTGAAGTATGCCGCCCATACGGCCTGTTACTGTTGCTACTAGCAGAAATAAATTAAAGTCAGCAAGTTCACCAAAAAGAGTGAAGGGTACGTCCATGTACTTCTCGGCAAACAGAGGAAGCAGTGAAATAAGAAACTCCTTATTTACTAAAAGCAATTCCTTCCAAATCAGCAGAACCGACTACAGTGCTGACCATTCCGGGAATCTGAAACATGGTGGTTGTTGGTGTTGCTGCTTTGTTAAAAACCAGAAAAACAGCTGAGACCCCCTGCTAGCCCTAAGCGACTCTTCCTCTCAGTGGTGCCCAGTGACAGGACGAGAGGCGATGGGCACAAACCGAAACTCAGGAAATTCCGTCTGAACATAAATTTGCTTGCTGTGAGGGTGGTTGGACGCTGGAACGGGTTGCCCAGAGAGGCTGTGGAGTCTCCATCCTTGGAAATAACACCTGACCGGACGTGGTCCAGGGCAACCCGCTCTAGGGGACCCTGCTTGAGCAGAGGGTTGGACCAGGTGGTCTCCAGAGGTCCCTGCCAACCTCCACTGTTCTGCAGTTCTATGAATCAGAACTAGATGTTTCTTCTCTGAAATCAAAAGTGAAAATAGACGTGGGAATAATAGAGTGGAATAGATAAAAGATGTATAAATCAATAGATTAAAGATGGTTTTTCAAAACCAAAGTGACTTAGGAATTGGGAATCTGCTCATACAGGACTTGTGTTCATAGGAAAGGACACCTTACGTGCACACGCTCTGTGTCCAGTTGATAATACTTCCAAAAAGAAGAGACCATTTTGCCACCAGTGTCACTGTGCACAAACGCATGGTGAATACAGGACAACGACCAGGGAAACCACCTTACGTTTGGCTCTGAAGGAAAAAGGCCAGCTGGCTCCTCTTTCTTGCTTAACCCAAAACCTAGAGATATTCTGCAATTAGCCCGTAAGGCCGCAGAGCCAGAATGAGACGTGAGAAGGACAGTTGCATGAGAAGATGAGACGGCCTGGGTCTCGGGAGAGCTCGGTTTAATTTTGGTATCTGCCACAGGAATTGGTTGTGTCCCAATTCATGCGTGCCTCCGTTCCCCCTGAAGAAGGGGTGATCATTCCCGGGCGAGGGTGTCTCTTAGGAATGATGAGCCCTGAGTAGGAACAGTTCTCAGAGGAGGATTCAAAATACTCCGATCCTGCAAGTAGTGGGAATTTTTAAAAAAAGAGCCCCTCCAGCATTTCTCGCAAAGCAAGGAAAATCAGCAAGAAATGCAATCCAAACCAAACATTGACAGTGGTACTTAAAGCCTTTGCGACTGGAGGTCAAAGGGGTATGCCAACGATTTCCTGCCAGTCAGACCCAGCTTAAAAAAAGAAGCAAGCCATCCTTGACATTTAGATTTTTGCATGGAAAGAACAAACACTCAAATATCTAACGAGTACAAGCCAAATCCGGATTACTGCTGCTCGCCAGTAAAATGTTTGCTTTAAGGACTCTATCCACACAGAGACCCTTTGGAGGAGGATTTTGACATTTTACAGTTTCTTTTCTTTTCTTTTCTTTTTTATGATAGTATCAGAACTGTTGGCAGGACAGAATTAGGCAAGCAGACAAACAAAAGGTGAGGAAACGTGGCTGAGGTTCACGATCTAGGAGAGCGTTAGTGCGAGAAAACCAATTTTGTCTTACCAAAGGTTTAAAGTTTTTTTCTCTGCCGATCGCCCTGTTTGCCCATCTCTCCCCTAAACTGTCCGGCGCTATCAAACCCGCCTGCGACACGTCCCTTCGTTCCTTCTGCGCAGACATACAGACCTTTTTGTGGAAGAACAGCTCCTTTTTGCATCTCCTAGTGACCACTTTGCGCAAAAAGGACTCTAGATTTTGGACCCGCCAGGCGTGCCAGCAGGTTTCGCCGCTGCTCCGTATTAAAAGCAGTGCTTTTACGTTCGCTTTCGCATCTGCGGCATAGGAAGGAGGGTTCGGGGTTCCTGCTCTGGCCAGATGGCGCGGCGGGACTTCTCCCCTTTCACACGCGAGCGCCCCAACTCTGGGCAAGCAGAGGAGAGGATGCTTGACAGCCAACCAGGATCCCTGCAACATTGGCCAAATTAGCTCCATCTAGGAAAAGAGGAAGGGGAGCCGCTCATTCTGGGTTGTTCGTTTCCTTAGGCTGTTTTGCGGTTTTCAGTGGTCCGCTACGTTTGCGTGTTCCTACAGCTCATGCTAGCTGCAGGGTTTCTCGCCCAGGCGGCTGCTAGCCACTTCCCCTCCCCTTCCCCTGCCGGCCGGCATGTCGTTTGAAGTCTTCCCATCTCTCCGCACCCCGCTCTTTGAAACGCTGCGGATCGGCGGCGCGGCACCCCAGACCCCAGCTTACGCCTTCGCCTAGCAGGAAAGGGAGACGTGCCGCTCTTTCGGGGAGGATGTTGGCACCCTCCCACGGGTCCTGCCCACCAGGATCCTATGCTAATAAAGCAACGTGATCAGTCACGTAAGCTGGTGGGAGGAGGATCAGCCCCAGGTGTCTCTTATATATAGGAGAGCTCTGCACGCATGGCTCTAAAGCGATTTAAATTTATCTTCCAGGTTAATATCTGATATACGGTGAGCGGACATCTCCACAATGAGACCGGCACTGCTGTTAGTGCTGGCCACCCTGGCGGTTTTCTGCCACACGGGTAAGTACCGCTGTCTCTAACCCACCCCTCTGCTAATGAATCTGTACAAGAGACCTGCAAGGCTCGACCATGGTGATCTATGGTCATAAGGACCATCCTTTCCAATTCTTTTCCATTTGCTCTTCGGTCGTACCTAGCAGGCACCTGCTGAAGCTTTAAGAGCTTGAAAGCTACAGCTTCTGACAGCAGAAAGGTGGTCGGACATGTCGTGGCTCTGGCAGTGATGGACTGCAATGTAAACGCGAATGTAGGAACTACAGGTCTTAGGTCCTTTAGGGAATCGAGGGGGCTTTAAAAGGGCGCTTACCATCAGAAAGTTGGCCTGCTCTCCAAAGTAACGGAAGGGGGGAAAAAAAAATAGATTTCTTCCGTTCGACTCTTGAAGTTAAAATAAACCCAAAAACAAGACATAGGAAGACTCCTTACAATGAACCCCTCCTTCTCACCGCCTTTTCCATTTTGAATGTTACAGCATTCAAAAGAAAGCACTGTTTTAAAGCGCGGTCAAGAGTAAGACCTGCTGGGTGACAACGAGATCTCAAAAATACGGAGTGAGCTATTTGCTGACTGTCAAAACAAAGTGTCCAGTTTACAAAATTTAGATAAGGTGCCAGGTGCTTTCCACTTGCAAGCTATTTGACAAATTTGCCAATAGCCCAAACTCTCCTCCTCTAAACACATAGCTATATTTTAAACCAGCAGCACCAAAAAATTCTCCTGTGAAATTTCTCCCCGTAGACAACTTCCGAGTTAGTGATGCAGAGACAGTATCGCTGAGGGTTTCAAACAAGCTCAAGACCCCCAATAGCACAGTTACGCACTACGTCCAGTTGTCCTCGCTACAGGGCCTGCACAGGCGCTATAATACTGGAGCAGTAAAATAAGTCCTATAAATATTTTATTATGGTATTCAAACGAGTTTGGTTCCTTGCAACATTTCCCAGCTCGGTTCTTGTCTACTTTTATTCCAGCTACAGCTTTGGCTTGTCCAGAGATCTGGAATCTGGCCACGAAGTTTCTCTATGGGTCTGTTGAGGAGTACGTGGATGCCGTTTCTCCCTACGCCACGACACCCGTTATGAAAGCAGCCGAGCTCCAGTTAAAGCAATGCGTGCAGGAGTCGGTCACAAATAAGCAAACTCTTACCCTGTTAGTGGTAAGTTCTCTCTTCTCACTGTCAAAGCTTTAGATTCAAAATATGAGGATGTGAGGTGGAAGAAGCTGGAAATGTTGCAAGCAGACCCCGTTTAAGCTGGCTGGATAAAGAAATGATGGTGGTGCATACGTTACAGAGGGAGAGTACGCACGCGGTATAATAAATATAAAACTTTAAACACCTCGATTGGGTTCAGCCAAACTTGGCAGCAAAGCGGAGGTCCCAAAGATGCTCAGTTTTTACAAGTTTCAGAGGAAAGAAATCCTACAGGGACCGATGGAAACCTGCGGTGTAAATTCAGAGGCGGTTAGATACCCGAGACCCCACGTAGGACAGAAACCTTACAAATGCTTCAAATATGCACTAAGACTTTGAAAACCAGGTTTTCTTAGTTCAGGTTCTCCAGGAGCTGCTTGTTTCCTTGTTATCCCCATCAGGGCTAAATCCTTCGGGTTTTAGCGGATTGCAACACTCCCGAGCTCTGAGAGAGGAGAAAGGAAAGGGAGGGAGAAGGAAAATCCTCTGGGGATGATAGACTTTTGGGAACTGGCTCTAGCTCCAAAGCCTTGATTCTTTCCTAAACGGCTGTGAGGACACAGTCCCCCATGTTGCCATTTCTTTGGCTACTTCTCACATGGATTTTCTTGCATTTTGCCAAGAAAAGGTTGTGACAAATTTTAGGTCAGGTGCCAGTCAAAACACTCATGATCAGAGAGGTTTAGCAGCTTCTTCAGCTTTAACAGGTTAAAAAAAAAAATTATTCATATTTTTGTTCTTCTTGTAAACTTTGTTCTAAATCTTTGTTTCAGTCTCAGATACTCAGCAAATGCTAAAGGCACCATAATTCTAGGGGCGCCCTGTCCTTAAGGAGCTGGGAGGACATTAAACATCATCTGACGCCTGCCGATACCCACCTGCTGACAGCGAAGACCTCCTCACCGAATATCTTCATTTGCTTCTTCTTCTCTCTGATTAGTGACTAATTACTCTAAATAATCTACCAACCTCATATGACATTTTCCTGTTGCTTGCACTTCATGTTTCAATAAACTAAATGCAATTCAGCTGTACGTTGGTCTTTTTAGATTAAAGACAGCGTTTGCTTTCAGAAATGATGTAGCAAAATCGCTTTCAACGTGAATAGTTTCATCCCTGCTGTCCCAGCTGGAGATTTGACTCAAACTTACAGTGGGGCAAAACCAATCCGTAAGCACAAGTCATAACATCTGGGCCAGATCCCTAGTCCAGCCTGTCCCATACCTCTCCCTTTGTACTCCTGTACTTAACTCCAACTGTAGGTACAAACACTTGCACCCTACAGATACAGCCAGAAGAATCAAGTTTGTTCGCATTGCTGCTCTGACTCCACCAGGGCGACTTTGGAAAAAGTCACTTCATCTGTCTCGGGGGGAATCTGTATTGAAAGCCTGGTCACCATAAACCCCCTGTACAGCTTGGAGGGAAGAGATTGGGAGCTTCTAAGGACTACCGTCCCCCTAACAGTCAAAGCAATCAAAATCTGAGCTTCTGCCTCCCAGCTTCCTTGTAACATCAAGATCCTGACACAGACCTCTTGGTAAGGCCTCAAAAAAAACCCAGAGCATCACCGGAAAATCCACCACGATTAACTGTTCATATCAGGGCAGGGGGACCTCCCATCGCTGGCAACGCAGTTACAACTTCAGCGTAGGTTTATTCAAGCTTGGAAAAGGAGAGGGGTCGTTTCTGTTTCATTTGCTAAATAAGGTATGAAACCCTTTGTGCTTTCTCAGAATTCTTATTTCTGAGGAGGCCTTAAAAAAAATCACAATAATTTGACTTATCTATCTAGGAGAAATTTTAAAACGTGCTAGATCTGCAACTAATTCCCAACTTTCCTTGCACGACCTAGGAAACACACACAAGATAGCCTGCATGGCTTATTCCTGCCTCTTGGAAGAAGGCCTTTTGTGCAGCTGTTTGCCAGGACAAAGTCCTAAAGGGAGCACCGCAGTGGTATTTCTAAACCTTGCTAACTCATAGCTCCTAATAACAAACTCTGTTTACTAACACCAGGCACAAATCAGCCTTCCTGGTTTAAAAAAGTAGCCTAAGGGATATCCGGAAAATAAGAAACCTGACTAACGCTACACGCTCAAATGTACACACGACACAAGAATAAGGTGATGGTGGTAGGTTCAACGACCTTCAGGTCAGCCTTTGCCCCTTTGCATATCGGGACCTTGCAGACGTTCAAGCCTGTAGAGCGCTCTAGAACCGCCAGCCCCACGCTCTAGAACAGCTGCGCCGCCTGTGTGATGCAACTGTGCGTTTCCACGGCTGTTTCACGTTCCCCTCCAAGGCCGTTTGGGAGAGGAAGCCCGCACCCGCCTTGCCAGGCTTTCATCGAACCCGCCTGCAGCTGGCCACCGAGAGCAAGAAGAGCGGCAGCCGGCAGCGTCGGCCCATCCTGTTAGACTTCACCGGACAAGAAAGGTGAATTGTTTATGCTGTGTTTTAGGATAAGTGATTAGCTATGCTCTGCCTGACGGGAGTGTCATCACTCTGCTCAAAGTACTGCTATAACAGGAGAAATTATTTCAGATTGTTCTTTCTTGGCAGCCAGAACCCATGCTGCGGCAACGCTCCTTCTCCTTCCTCCTTTTAGAGGTAAAGCCAGCATACAGGATGCTCAGAGCAAATTAACTAGGCAGGTCTGAGAGCAGCGCTGCTCAACTGGTCCTTAGATGCCCTTCCTGCTACACTGGACGGAAAAACATTACAGGAAATTTTCAGCTGATGAAAAAAATAATAACAATAATACAGTTTTTTTTCCCCCCTAGCCCTCTTAACTCCAGGCGACTGAGGGGAGGAAGGGAAGGCACAAGACAGCAGCCTCACACAAATAATCCCCACGGGCTTGAGCGGTCCTCTCCGCTTTCAAGCGTTTGCAGGACCATGCTTTCTTCATTCCGTTCTCAGATTTCTGGAAGTCCGTGAAACCCACGGCGCGGGAGAGAAAAAGCGGTAGCCTCGTTTCGTCTGAATGCTCAGTGCCAATGCAGCTTACAGACTACAGGCAGCGCGTTTTGGCGGATCCTGCCGCGAAAAGTGCACGTGACGGCCCCAGGCGTAGACCCATGCGATGCTTTCTCCTCCCGCTGCTCCGCACGGGGGCCCCAACAGTGAGCTCACCGGAGCAGTTAGTTAAGCTTCATGAGCAAGACAAATAAGCAAAGCAGATGAGCATGCTAAGCCCTAAGCAGCAGTTTCGTACTACTAAACTGCTGAAGGAACACAGTCATAAGCCATATTTTGTTAGGCACAGTGCAAAACAGGACAAAAAAAAAAAGGCTGTTCCTAGACCCCCGGTCAATGTTAAGACAAGAGATGAAGGACCGCTGTAGAGGTGAACTGGGAAGAGCGCAGACAGTATCGGTGAGGACGACAGGCGGCAGGCTGAGCCCATCAGCTGGATACCCGCCGTCGTATTTTTGCTGGCAGAAAAGGGAAGCTGTAAGGGGCCAGTGTAATCCCACGAGCTTCCATCCCGCCTTGGAAGACACGGAGGCAAATACCCGGGAAGGGAGGCAGGGATTTAAAACTCAGACGTTAGGATCAGCAGCGATGCTCAAACCGTCTTTGGCTAAAGTCCCAGACTCCAACACACGGATGCGTTCAGGAATGGGCCTACAGCAGGAAACAAGTTTCTTTACTGCTGGCCGAGAAACGCGGGCGGCCCGGTGGGAGTGCAAGGCTTTTTTTCCCGGGACGCTCGCGCACGCTCGCGACTTCCGAAAACCGGCCCCGCTCACGCATCACCCCTAAACTAACCCGGCGTAGCACAGAAGCGAGGGGAGGCCTATCCTTGCCCTCGTACCTGCTCTTCCAGCACCTCTTCGACCCATCTTGCCGATTAGGAAAGGCTAGGAGGTGCGGCAGGATCTCCCCAGGGACGCGGCAGGATTGTTGTTAGGCGCTGCGTTACCGACGACCTACGGAAAAAGCAGCGGTACGTTGAGTATCACAGGAAGAGGGACCTTCCCAAGCACAACGCGATATTCCTGGGAGATACCGAGGGTGGGATTCAGTTGAATATTAAGGCACCGTTTAGAAAGACATTCAGCTGGCCAGCTAGGCGATGCTGAATCTCGGATGAGCCGAATTGCTGCCGGGGCTCCCCTGAACTGCTTAACTACCCCTTCCCCGAGTGCAATTGGAGGGTAGCCTACATTTAGGTGTCAAAATCTACCTGAATCTCGCCCCCCGCCCCCAGGCTGAGAAGCTGCCTTCAAGCACCTGGAGATTTTGACAGCCCATCGGTATTTCATTTCGAGACAGAACTCGGAGGACGCGGGACCCGGCAGAGAGTTTCTAATCGAAATGCAGAAGAAGAAATGGAATCCTGCCTCTTCCAAAAACGCCCGTCCGTAACTCTTTTTTCCTCTTTCCTTAGGCTTTGCAACCGCCCGCCACCATGTATAGAGCCTGGGTGGGGACCTGGAGACCCCATCGCCCGCGGGGCCCCGTAATGGCCCAGTTCACTAGCCCGGGACCCAAGTACTCAATCCCAGGGACAACAGGTAAAACAGCTATAAAGTCGTGCAGCGCTTTCAGTAAGTTAATGGTAAAAATCGGCTAAGAGACAATGTCAGTAATTTCATTTGTTATTAGGTAATTTAGTTCAATAACTCTAGCTCAATACAGCACCGCCACCTTCTACTTCGTTTGTGCAGCCGTCCTTTGCTACGGGTAGGAGGCTGCTGGTTTTTTAATCAGTAAAAGCAACTGAGAGGGCAGCATTTGCCATTGCTGGGAAATGCAAAAATCACCAAAGCGTGAGTTTCGGTAGCACCCATTCAGTGCCTCTCCAGCAAGAAGACAAGCCCTAAATCCCTATTATGAGAACAAGGCAGACCAAGACCAGATGCGTTTGCAGTCCTCCCGGGAGGCACGCAGGAGCTGCAATAAGCACGTGACAAGCTCAACGCACCCCCCTTTCTGCAAAATCGAAGGCAGCCCCATGTCCTGGAAGGGGATGTCACGAGGCCAACGGCTCAGACTACCCCAGTTACGAAAGAGCTTAAAATATAATTGCATGCAGGGCTCCTTTCACAGGCCTTTTCTCCCTAGGTTACCTGAAACACGATCCTACCAAAAAGCGAGCCCCTGCCTACACATGTAGCGGGGCAAAACCTCCTGTGAAAGAGGGCTGCTCTCCAGGCCCTTGCTACTACGTGGAGCCCTCCATGACCAGGACGGGCAAGTACACTGCTCCAGGATACGTTATGTGCGGCCGCCCCAAGGTGACCACGGAGACCACGCCTGGGCCAGGTGGGTGACGCTTCTCCAGCCGTTCGCTCAGACGAGGCACACGCGCCTTACCGCCGTCCGGCGTTTGCAGGGTACAAAGCAACCCAGCTTGCATCTCGCGTGAGCTCTAGATGTTTTCAAAGAGAAAACAAAGCCAGTTTGAACAGCGGTCAGTGAAATACAAGAAAAACTGCTGCCTAGGACCACAGGCCATGCACTTACGGGGGAACGATCCAGAGCCCTGACGTAATACGGGGCCTGCCAAGAGGAACGGCCATGCCGGACAAAGCAGCTGGGTGAAGAAAAACCCCCCTGCATGGCTATCACGTGGAGGAAAGGGCAGGAAGAGCTGGTCAACAGCTGCCAGTTCTGCAGGTGTCTCCTAGCAAAATTGCCTATTATTTGCCCTGAGAAGCCAGAATTTCACTGCTTTTGTCCTCTTCTCCCCTGCCCCAGGTGATTACTTCACAGAGAAGTCGGAAAAGCACATCTATAAATGTGCTCCCGCGCACTCCATGTCATTCAGGCACAAGACCATCGCGAAAGACATCTCTCCAGGTAAGCGAACGATGGCGAACAGGCACTTGCAGCCTAAGTGTCCTATAGCGAAAGTCTGGCGTTCAGCTTTTTACACCAGGCTGATTCAGCATCTACATAACAGGATGCAAGTGCTGCTTGACGAGCTTTATTTCTGTCTCATAGCTCTCTAACAGTATTTCTGCGTTTGCTGGGAAGACAGACGTGACCAAACCTTTCGCATCGCAGCTTGACTTGCTCCGCAAGGGCAGAGCCAAAGCCTTGCTATGCAAATCCCACAACAAAGCTCTTCTGCAAAGAGCTTGTAGTCTAAACATAAGACAAGAGACGAGAAGTAAAAACCTATCGAAACAACGAGAAGCTCTAGGAAACGGTACTGGGCAGAATGATCACCCAGGACCTGAACACGGTGATGCCTCTGCGGCAAAGTCAAAAGTTTGTGCTGGCAGATGGACAAACCACGTACCTTTTAAAGCTGATGTCCGGAGGAGCAAGAAGCTATAGAGAAAAAAAAAAATCCACGTTTATACCAGGTGGTAGTGTGAAATTCATAGAATCAGTAGTAATCTCTACATCAAGGAGAGCTTTACTGTCAAAGGCCAGCTTTCAGGCAACTAGAAACCACATCAACTTATCCCCTACCCCCAAGGAGAAAAAAAAAAAAAAACCCTCAGTAAAACCACGTTCAAAATCCTGGGGCAGCAACCCTCGCACAGTGATGAGAGGCAATCTGACAGATCACGTCTGTGTTCCTATAGCTTCCCAGGACGCGTCGCAGGGATTGACTAAGGACCCACAAGAGGTCTTCTCGCTGGGTGCGAGCGCTCTCCACAAACGCTTGCTCTCCTCTCTGGGTCCCTAGGTCTAACGTACGCCTTTCCATTGGTACAAGCTATGCTGCAGGTTCTTGGGAAATTGGAGGGCGCAGGGTGGATGGTTTTAAACACAGCCTGTAAGATCCAGGAAGCCAGTTAAGGATTTCTTACTCCCGTTTCTTGCAGTCAAGGGGCCACCTCATCCCACGCGAGCGCTGGCAACTCAGCCTCGCGGGTGCCCGCTCGCTCAGTGCCACACAAGACCGAGGGATATGAAAGGGGGAGGACGTCCTTCCTGCTCCTCTGAGGCCTGATGTCTCCTCTGTCCCCTGAGGATTCACACACGCTCTCTTCCCATTCCTCCCGCAGGCCCCAACGCCTACACAGTCCCGAGGGTGATGGGACCGAACACAGCGTACACGACTGCCAGTCCGTGCTATTCCATGAAATGGAGGAATAAATTTGGTCTCTTTGAGGAAGACTTCTGCAAAGTGAGCTACGCTTCCACTTCTTTTTTGCATTAGCAACTGAAAGTTATCTGCTCGCTTCGTGGTGGATCCTCTCCTAACACGCAGCTCATTGTGGCATGAGCAAAACCAAATACTCCAGGTGCACGCTGGCAGGGTCACAAGGTTCCCCTGCCGTTACAGCAGGAGAGGGGAGGGTCTGCCTACCCCTGTGGTCCCTTGTTTTCTAAGAGGCCTCACTAACAGTTTTGATGATGCAAAGCTCCTTCAAGCTTTGCATTAAGCCTAGTCTTTGTACTTAGTCCCTGCGGGTTGAATGTGCGTTGCTGAATGCCACTGTAAAGAGCTGGAAAGGGCAATAATGAGGGTGGAGGGAAAGAAAAAATTCTCAAAGCAGTTACTGAAATGTATTTGAAGCAGAAAACCAAACCTATTATCACAGGTATCCACTCTGAGCTCGTCAGGAACAGGACTATGTATGCCAGGGGCCGTATAAACACACAAACAACAAAACCGCTGCCCATGCCTTAGCAAATTTGCAGTGCAAGCGGCTGCAGTGTTAAGAGCTACTGCTACATGCAGTCAGCAGCAAAACGTTAAACTCTAGCCTGCCTGCCATTACAAAATAATTTGCCTTACTGACTAAAGGGAGTCAAACCTCCGGACAAAATGTGAAGTATATTTTTCTAAGGTATACAGTGTTTGTAGATATTTGTATAACAAGGGTTTCACATTATGCCGCAGAGCATCAGCCGAAAGACCAGAGTTTTTTGGATAGGTAGTAAACACTCCTGTTTCACGTATCATTGGCAAGGCTTTGGGGTAGGCTTGTATGAAATACAATGTTAATCCTCAAGGAGGAAAAAGGGAATTGATGTTATGCAAACTTGTCCTCTGCAATAACAGTTTCTCAAGATAAAATACAACAAGGTTGTCAGAACTGTCACACTAAGAAGCATATTTCACAACCAGCAATAGTCTGTCAGTGAGTTATATTGGGAATGGAAGACATGGAATACACTGCCAACATGCAAAATGCTTTTATTGATAGGTTTTATATAATACAAACATTTTTTAATCTCCTATTTGAGAAAAGCCTTTAATTGCTAGCCTTACGTAAGAGCCAGGAAAGATCACGAGTTCCTGGTGTCCTGCCGCTGCACGTTTTAACTCCCATCTCTCTAAGTGACTGTCCGTTTGCGATCTGGCAGAGGGAGGAGGCTCAGAGAACAGATGGGAAATGCCTAATGGCATCTCTTACAGGAGATGACAGCTGCTGCAATACTGAAACGACATGTTGGATTCTTCTTTTTTTTGAGGGAAACAAAATTTGTTGTTGTTCAAATCGCTCAACTCTTCCAGTACCATCTATTTGTCCAGTTAGATGAACTAACGTAGCCCTCCTGGGAAACCAGGAGGGATAAACCCTTACCTTTTTTACCCAGCAACTCCACTGACTCTCTTACAGACGCCGGGGCCTGCTGCCTACCGGAAGACAGAATTGGATGTATATAAAACAAGAGCTCCCAAGTACACTATGAGAGCCCACAGTAAACCAATAGTAGATAAAACAGTAAAACCAGGGCCTGCAGACTACTACATAGGAAAGGTAAGGCAGCTGGCCATCTTCTCCTCCTTTTCAACAACCACCCTCCTCCCTTCTGCTCAGGCTTTTAGTAGTATCTTGTTAGTATCACAAACTGCAGGATCAGCTTGTTTTGAACAACCACAGCTGGCAAGCATCTTTTTACCGCTTTTTGGAGGGGACTGTGATGCTAAAAAAAGGAGAACTGGTACCAGTGGCGAGGATTAGATCCTTCAATACGTTGTCACGCGCGGACGTGAGAACTAGCAACTATCGTACTAGTCAGCAGGGAAGCACTGCTCCTAGTTTCGCGTTACTGTCTAGAAGCAACGTTGGAAGGAGTCAATATTAAACACAAAGAGCATGCACTATGAACGCGTTAAAACCTGTAAGCGCATAAGAAAGCTGAGGCCACTTAGCAAGCAGAACAAAGCTTCAGAAAAGCGTTGGGTAGAAACTTTTCCTTTTCAGAAAGGAAAAGCCTCCCGACTCTTTCCTAAGTGACTTAGAATTCGTAAAATCGGTCACAAAAAAGGAGCTCTTCATTGCACGACGCATACTGAAGACTTCCAGTAAGTACGTCACCCCATCCGATACTGTTTCATCACAAAATGAGACAAGCAGACACACGCACGTACCTTTTGCAATGCAGTGAAGATAAACTTGGAGGGGAGGGGAGATCTGGCACAGCCTGGCTTGAGCTGGCAGGCCTCCGAAGTTTCCAGTTGCGCTTTCCATATCAGCTGTAATGATAATTTTTTGGTCAATTTTGTGTTGAAAACAAGATCTTTTGTTTTAGTGTCCTTAAAAACCTAAGGAACGTACTTTAACTATCCCTAAACTATTTTTTCTTTTTCCTTCACGTTACTCCTCAAAAAAAGAGAAAGAAATGTCAATTGGTAATAGCAATAGAACGTTTCATAGCAGAAGGACGTTTTTAATGGTCTGCTAATAAATGAGGTTCAGAGTAAATGTGCTGCTGGGCTAGACACGGCTAGCTAGAAGTTTCATGGGGAACATACACCAATATACGATAAATGGCAAAGTCGCATAAATACACTTTCAAGTGACAGATTGTCATCACTGAACAGAAACCTGTTCTACTAGGACACCCGTGCTAGAAAGAGAGCCTCTAGAAACAATAAGACTATCTATGTTAAGGAAAAATAGCTCTCTTTTCGTCTACCGTTTATCACTAAAAACTAACCCCTGCTAGATGCGCCGTTTCACCAGGTTGCTACCACAGTTCAGGACAGGTCCAGAGCAGTGACGCCCCTTTGCCATTCACCTTTCTTCCTTTTCCCCCTTGCAGGTGACGCTGACCAAGGCGCAAGCCCCCGCAGTCACCTTTGGCATCCGACATTCAAAGTACATGACCCCTCTGATACTGGACAGCTGATCATCTCCATGCAAGCTGCACTTGGAAACTGCACTTACTTGCCTGCATCATGTTGTTTCACGTTTTAAAAACCAAAGGATTTGGCACAGCTTCCCTCGGGCCTGCAGTTATCCACCTCCAGTCAATTAACTGCATTCTGCTAAGCAATTATGAGCACAGGAATTCAGAAGGCGATTACTCATGGTATCGCACCGCGTCCTGTTACTACCAAAGGACTTTTTGCATGCTTACTCCTATTCAAGTAGGAGGTGGCACTACTGGGCCCTCCTGACTGAATCTTACACGCTAACGCTGATGAACGCGACCGCTTGCACCCGGATCCTACTGACTGCAGGAATATTACCTCAACCCCCCACCTTAAAGACTTTCTGCTTCCTACTGATAAGATAACCTTTTGATGTGCGTTTAGACTTGCAGTGATCTCAGCTGCGTGGTTTTTGGGTTCTTTTTTGGCGTGTTAATTGTGGCATTAGCATTTGAGGAAAAATAAAATGTAAGAGTTATTCTGTACATAATGTGGCAATACAACTGAATTTGGCGATCCACCTTTAGATGGCACTACAGAACAGTATTTAAGAGAACAGTTTGGAACTGAATGCAAATTCTTGGTATGTTACAACTTTAACAAAACAAAGATTTTATTTATTCACCTAGAGCAGCAGGGGGGGAAACAAAGTCTGTTTTCCCTATTCAATTTTCACGCCTCAGCAAAACTTTGCTATATTAGAACTGTAGGAGAGCACCAAAATCAAAAGCATAACCAACGCCAAAGAGCTCCAGCAGCACGTATTCACCTGATTGTGCTAAACAAAATAGGCTTTGGATCCCAATTCCTCACTTAACCCTGGAAAAGTAGCGTTCCTCACCTCAAAGCAGAGCCCAGGCTGAGGGCAGACGCAGGCCATCCAGAGAGCAATCCCAGGAAAACACTGCCCCATGGAAACAGTGAAGTCCTTCCTACACACTCACACAGGAGAGCGGAGCATCTTTACGCCCCCATGTTGAGAGAGCCTGCTGCTCCTGGGGCTGCATTTGCTTCTCCCCCAAGGTGCAGCCTGAAACACTGTCCCTCTGCGTTCTCTCTTTTAATGGGCTGTGCCTAAAAGCCACAATCAAGTCCCCAAATTATTTACATTAAGGAAAAATAATGAAGGTGGTAACAAGTGGATTCCTGTCAGTCTGAAAAGACATTCTTCCTAATTTATACAGGTATACAAATATCTATACTGGAGGTTTGTGATTGACATAGAATACTGGACAGGAGTTCTGCTGTGAGCGTTTAATTGCTCTGTTTGTGAGTATTTTTTTTTTAAATCTGAATTTTGTCATTTCTAAACTCATACTTTTCTTGGATAGTGCATGTCCTTAGAACATTTAATGGTGTGCAAGATTCTAATTGTAACTGCCACTGTAAGTTTCGGAGGCTTAAACAAGGTTGTACAGTGCTAATGAATGACTGGCTACTTCTGAGCTAGTGCAGCTTTCGTCAGATCTCTGTATAGTTCATTGCACGTACACTGTTTCTTAAGATAACAATTACATTTGGCTCTGAGGCAGCAGGTTCTGTACAATTTAAATATAACAGAATGATCTGATCTTGGTTTTTAATCTTGCTAAGACATAAGCACAAGAGGAAAAAAAAAAAAACACCTGGCCAGACTATTCTAAAAACATATTTTTATTTAGAACATAAAAAGCAAACCGAAACCGCCACTACTATGAAGACCAGGCTGTTTCAGAGGTCTCTCAGCAGAAGTGATCCACTTCAGAAAATCGAAACAAGAGTCCAGCGATTCACCCAAGCGATTCATCATTCTTCCAAGTGCAAAAAGAGTTTGGAACTGCCGCATCTTACCAGAGAAGCAGAAACAAAAACCAGAGAAAGTTGTTGCTGCCTCCTTTCCTACTCACCTTCACTGCCCCTTCTTCCCCAAACTTGGGAAGACGACACACAATCAAATTATGAAAGTACTCTGTTAAAAGTCTGATACAGTTTAAGCAAAGGACAGCACAGTCTGTTTAGATCTAGACCCAGTTTAGCCCAAGCAGAAAGGAATTCCTACAGATACAATGTCAAGGCCAAATGAAACATACAGGGACTGATGAATAAACACTTGTTAGAAAAAAAGATTGTAAAAGAGGAGGAAGTCTTTAGTCCTGGAGAGGTAGTCGTTACAGGAGGATGAGAGAACAAAATAAGCAAAGAATTCCAACAAGGAAAACCAGATCACATCAGCACGTGGTACAGAAAAGAGACTATATGAAACACAGTACCTTTGTACAGCTGCTTTGTATAGTAAAAGGTTTATATAATAGGTAGCGAGGGCTTCCTCTGAAAAGAGAAAGAGGTGGGTTTTGTTTGTTTCTTCTTCCAACAGGCCTAGTATTTTAAAAGTTACAGATCTTTCGCTATAATTAGAGATAGACTTAAATAACTCCGCTACGGAAGAATGCATATGGGGTAGTGTCGTAAGTGAGAGGCTGATCGGCCCACTGAAAGGAAAGGAGGGTGAAGGGAAGTTGGAGTTTCCAGGTGCGATACTCTCAGCCTTCTGAGACATAAGAGTTACGTGCCCTGCTTCAGGAGAGGAAATCTGGCATGCACTGCATGTTCATTGGGAACGACTGCTTTATAAACAAAACTCGTATGCATGTGCTTTCCCACACATCTCCCACAAACATTTCAGGCAGGAATCCCAGAAGCACAACGGACAGCACAGCAAGTTAGAGTTTCTTAGGTTACCATCTACTTAAATAAATACATCCACCAACCCTCAGGTCAAATCCTTCCCTGTCCTCCAACCACCACCTCAACAAGATGCAGTTTAACTTGTCCACAACCTCTATTTTTATTTGCGCAGTGTCTTTCCAAAGGGCTGTAGTACAGGGATACTGTAATAACGACAATAAACTGCATGAGGCCTGAAGCAAATGATCTTAAGACGACTGGAGGGGAAGTTGATATGGGAACTTTCATACAGCCTTAGCAGTCTACGGGAGTGTATTTTCAAGCGTGTGGAAAAACATTATACGTGTGCAAATAACAGCAACTTAAGGACTTTGGCCCTTCTTTTCCTGCAGTGTCTACCCTCAACTTCACCTAGAAGGATAATAAAGCCAAGCTATCACTCAGGTAAAGTCTTGCTCCTCTGCAACTCGTCACTGCAACAATTATAGTGTATCAGGGTCCAGATCTACCGCTGGTTGAATTTCAAAGCTGTACGAACTTAATTCCAGCCCAGTGACACCAATGATATTAATGTGCCTCCAAGTCAAGGTGAAACTGAGACCGTGCATGAGCCGAGTGGCTAAGCTGGAATGTAAGTCTCAAGTTCATACCTCCAAATCTCATAAATCAGCATCCTCAACTCTGCAGCTTCTGGACTTCTGCTCGTTTATTAAACTTCGGAGCACTGACAAATCTCTGAATTGTGTCTGACATAACTCTTCACAAGCCTAGTAGGGAATATCAGTAATGTGGGTAACACAAAAGCAGCCTTTGAAAATAGGCTGAAGGACACGGGCAACAAGGCAAGAGATGAAGGCTTAAGCATTAACAACATCAAAATCATTTTACATGTGAAAATCAGTTTAGATTGAAACATACTCATTTTACAAAGAGATGTCCAAGACCAGTCAGATCAATGACAGTAAGCTGAGGAACAGAAAAGTTATTTGGACTGTTTGGAATGCCTCAAAAACTCCACAACAGGGCAGACTGCAAAGGGCTTTGAATAAGTCCATCAATCGTCACATGATTTTTGGTCTGTAAAATTCCTGGCATGAAAACCATGCTCAAGTCCCTGCTTTCGACACGAGATAGTAGAGGATGAAGAAGACAACAATCAGTCCTGCAGAAACGTAACAGAGTAACTTGCGATTGTCCCTCCCTGACCGCGTCATGGTGGAGAAACGCTTCACGCTGCCAGTCAGCAGGCCGGTCACACTCATAAAATCTGAATCCTGAAGAAGAAAGAAAGGCAAAATGGAGACATTATAAACAAGAAAGGCTATTCCTGAAGAACTTCCCTTAGTGATTGAAAAACATTTGAATAGGTAGCTGCACAGTAACTGCCTATCTCCCCACACCCACAATCATGTTTCTCTCAGAAAGTTCTTTCACTCCTGTGCTCGGACTCCAGCAACAGCACCATTCCCACAGTGCTCAAACCAGTCACACAAGAGGGATAGGAAAAGTTCTACTCCAAATGCAAAAAAAGTTTCCTAACATGTTTTAAACTGTTGTAAAATCATCTCTTACTGCACTGTTTAATTGCACCTGTGCAGCTTATTCTGCCTGGAACAGCTTGTTAATGGCAACTCTACAAGTGAACACTTAATCCGAAGGAAATGTCTCTCCATGAAGTTAACGTCGATTCATAGCATGTTGGGACTAGCTCAGAAGTAGAGAAGAAGGTGCAATTCATTTCCCTTAGTTCTACTTTTTCTTTAGAATGGGATGGCATGCATGTAAAACTTTTTGTCAGATACCGGCAAACAACTGTCAAATTAATGCAGTTCAGTCATTTTAATTTTGACTCCTGGCCTGCTTTCCTTATTCATGCATTATTTGTAGCTTCTACTCATGTTTCTCCCGAAATCTTTGAAAAGCTCCCCTAACAGAAGCATAATTTCATGTTTATTTAGGACTTCTCCTTTAAGCTCTTTGCCATAACATCTTTTACTTTGATTCTCCAGTCGCCTTAATTTCCTGGCTGAGTTAAGTATCCATTTCAGATACTGCAACACTGTCACTGTGTGCTGCTATTAAGATTCCAGCTGAGCTCACATCTTTGACTCAATTGGCTTCAATGCCACAATTATCTTCTCTCCAGTCCACCTACCAGTTGTCAAAAATGCAGCATGTGCAGAAAAGTCTCTCAAAGCAGCAGTGTTACTGTGCTAACCTTCTTCTCAAATAGCTGTGTGGGATTCCCTTCCTCTCACAGTTCAGTTAATGAGTTATGTTTCTCCCAAAAAGCCTCAGCAGGTAAGCCCTCTGCTACTGCCTCTGCTACAAGTCTTTCCTCTGCAAGTGCTACATAACTTTTTAAGGTATTTCAATTTAGGTAACGCTGCAGAAACTAACAGTGCGACCTAAATATAAGAATATTTAATTTGATAGGGAAAATCTAGAGGCAAGAGAAACCTTACCTTGTTTTCTGACCTTAAATGATAATATATTTTCTAGGCACTAATATAGTAATCGGTCATCCTGGCCTTTCCCCACAGCACGGGGATTCTCCATCAGCAACCAAAGCTTAAGAGGCAGATTACTCCGGAAAGTGACTTTGGTTTTATCAGCCATTGTGCATGCGATGTTTATGTTACCTCTAGAAATTAAAGCAGAATGATAACAGAACAGGGAACCTAACAACCTGATTGCACTCTGAGCGCGAGCCTTGCTCCTTCCAAAGACATCAGTGAACCCTGACAGCTATTCTGTGTTTCAGAGATTACAGTGAGTAATCCTGACAGATTTATACAACATTACCAAAAATCACAGAAGTAACCGAGGAATAGGCCCATCTCCCAGTATTAGCTACAGGAGGCAGGTCTTTAATCCCAGTAAGTAGGTAATCTCCATCTGTATTGCTGGAGTACACTGTCCTACGTGGGTGTTTCCAGATGCTAGATACCTGGCTATGCTGCCCATTCAAAGCGGTATGAGCAGCTAATGTTTATTTATCAATAAACCCACAGTAAGCGGGTTTAGTTGAATTATGTGGCTTGCCAACGGGAAAATCTAACTTTTTCTCCTTTACTGAACTGCTATTAACTTTCACAAATAAGGTAACTGCTTGAGAGCTAGCCCCCCCCAAAAAACCATGGTTTTTACGTTTCATTGCTTTCTTACCATGCCATCCAGGTAATGGTTTTGTTCATCAGCATCTTTGTCAATATCCAGAGCCAGCTATACAGGATGAGGGAGGAAACAGGTATTAATGAACTTTTAACATGGAGACCACCTCTAGCGCATCCAAAGCTGGAAAAATTTGAAACGCAAATAGAAGAGCAAGCCACCACCTCCCCCTGCCTCCTGTATAGAGTTACAGAGCCTTGTTTGGTACAATGACAGAACAGGATTCTCATTTCCGTTGATGACTGTTTAAATGATTTTGCTCTATAGCACTGGAAGTAAAGCATTACTATCAGACAGAAGCTTCATATATATGACACAAGCATTTAAATATTCACAACAGCAGAAATCAGTCCTACCTGCTATAATACTAATCACTGATTTACACTAAGTTCTAAATCAAAGTACTTGACGTTAGCAGGGGCAAACTAACTTTTAGAACACCACATGCGTACATACCTGGGTATTTTTCAAAAGTAGCTTGTCATTTTATTGTGACTTTTCTTCCAGAGGAGATGCACTTAGCAACACTCCTCTGTGCATCTTTCAGGTTTCTCTCTGTGCCTAAAACGCCTTACCTGATGCCGCTTTTCACTAGGGAAAGTTGACTATTAGATCCACTACAACATTCTCTTAAGAGCTGCTTATAAAGAGGAAGCCCTCTGTATTGGCCAGAGGTTTGCGTCTCCCACAAGGCGCTGTGAGGAAGACGAACAACGCAGGCAACTGAAGCCCAGGTAAACTTCATTTACCGCAGCCCCGGATGCGAACTCAGCAACTCACCGATTTCAGCCTGGTGACCTTGCTGGCTAGACTGTCTGCCATACGCTTGTTCTCGGCATCTAACATATCCTCCACGGCGCTCGGACTCTGACCTGGCACAAAAAGAGAAAGGGTTTTATCGGTCCCACTTACAAGTGGCAGCATGTTCGCTCGCCCCAGGAGGAGAGCGAGTTCGCTGTGGGACGGGTCGCTGCGGCGCTCCGGACGGGCCGTTTCACCTTGCTGGCTAGACTGTCTGCCATACGCTTGTTCTCGGCATCTAACATATCCTCCACGGCGCTCGGACTCTGACCTGGCACAAAAAGAGAAAGGGTTTTATCGGTCCCACTTACAAGTGGCAGCATGTTCGCTCGCCCCAGGAGGAGAGCGAGTTCGCTGTGGGACGGGTCGCTGCGGCGCTCCGGACGGGCCGTTTCAGCCGCCTTCGCGCTTCCCGCATCCCACG